GCGGCGGCGGTGCCAGAGCGACAGGACGCGGCCCGGGAACGGTGACTGAAATCACTGTCAACAAACCAAGAGCCTGAACCGGGCAACGTCGACAACGGGCAGATAAGGCTGGGAAAATACACCGAGATATTTTTATTTAAATAACGAGGACTTACAAATTATGAGCTTTAATACAAGTTAAATAAAATACAGCGTAAAGATCAGCTTTTAGATTTTTGCTTGTCTACATACAGCTTATTTAGAAATTTGACACACTTTACAAGCTTGAACAGTTTCAAACACAACAACTGTGCCTTCAAAAGCAATAGATTGTATAAAATACTGTGATACCCAAAAAAAGAGCCAGTATACTGTACAGCAAAATATTTTTACAGTAATTTGATATCTAAAAATCAGATTAGCTGCATCTGAAATTCATGGTAAATTGTCTTCTCTCAAGAGGAACTGATGGATGAATTGCTGAGCCTTCCTCTTCTCAGTTATATCAGGTGTAGGATGTCCAGGAGGAGGTCGAAGTAACAAGCCACCAAATACACTAGCTGCATTAAAAAAGAAAAAAAAAAAGCCACAGGTGCACAATAAGAGCCTGTTAGCAGCAGGGTGTCAAGGGTGATTCCACCAACCCCAATCAGTCAAAGTGGGAGAATGCCTAGCTTCAGAATGGCATCAGATAAAGCTGATGACCCACCCGCACCTGAGTCACTTTACAACTTTCTTCAGGCTATTGCAATGACTGTTTTTCTATGGACTGTTTGCTCATTATTAAATTCTTCAGAACAGTAGAGGCCATGACAGCACTCACTTTGGAGAATGTGTTTTGTTGTAAAAACTGCAAAGCCCCTCTGAACAGAATGGTTATTTTGCTCGCCTTACCAAGAATATTCACATCCAAATGGTTTTTCCCTGAATTTTTCAGTAGTTCTCGTAGAAATGCCATTAGATATTCAAATACATTTTTATGGCACCCTGGCAGATTAGAGATAATCTGAGGAGGGGAAAAAAAACAAAACAACATTTATATTGAAGACATGGCAATGGCTTGGCAGCTTTATCTACTACCAACATCACCTCGTTACTGGTCTGGCATAAAACAGTTTGCCTCCCCTCCCTCCAGAATTACAGAAACAGTCTCACAGAGAAGCTGGTGATACCTGGCTGCTCAGTGAGTAGTTGCTGGCACTCTCCAAACAGCTGCTGTAGAACCTATAGCAGATGACAGGCTCCGGCAGGCTTTCCAGGAAGAGCAGCAGGGCTTCTGCTACTGAGTGGTTGCTGCCAACTGATCCAAAGACAGTTAAGGAAGAGGCAAGCACAGCGTGATCTATTTTGGTCATATTTCTGCTGAAACATTTTGCTTAGGTCTCCAAGACCTCCTCCTATTGTTCACAGCTTTGAGTTAAATCATTTGACTCCACATAGCAAGCCATTTCCACTGGCAGTTGGACACGTACGTAATTAATCAACAATTGTTCACCAACATCGCAAGGACTTATCGGGGGCATTTGTCCTGATTGCAAGGAGTAGTGCAGGTCTCGGTTACCCCAAGATGAGAGACGGTAATTTAAAAAACATGGTGGAGTATAGAAGACTGATCAAATCTTTTTCAGCTTTGATCACTAAGGCACAGTGAGCCTTACCAGACATCGGTCTAAAAGGATACAGAGGGTATCATGCATTCCTTTGTCCAAACAATCTCGGATTTGCTCAAATTCGGATCTGAGGCCTGGTTGCTGAAACAGGTCCTCCTGCAAAGAAGACCATTAGTCGGTCTCAGGGAAAATAAAAGTTATTTGGGTAAATAGAGCAATGTCCTTATAATCTGGCTGGAAAAATCTCTCCAAATTGGCAGTTATCAGCACAAATCTCACCACAAGCAGCTCTAGTAAGGCTGCAGCACTGCAGTAGAGAGCAATGCAGCTGCTGATGCGTGCCACACATAAAGTCACCATCACAGAACAGTGCAATCACGGCACCAGGATCGCTTACTACAGATGTCTTTTATCTCTCTTTACCATTGGCCAAACATCCACAGTTAGCAATGATTGCTATTACTAGTACCTTCTTCAAAACTAAAACTAATGCAAAACAAATTATTTTGTGTTTCCAGTACAAACACTGCCAACCTGCTGGGAAGCATTGCGGTACAAGTGATCCACCATCATCCACAGCTCTTTTGGAATGTCCATAGGCTTTTCAGCTTGAACAGCATCATCACTCATTTCTAGTGGCATCAGGGTCTGAGAGGGGGAGGTGTTTTGTGGGGAAAAAAAAAAAAAAAAAAAAAAAGGTAGCTAGCCAAGTTCTTATTCAACTCAGCAAAAATGCTTCACAAAGTTTATACCTGAGAATTAAGGCTTGTTAAGAAACCGTGCAACTTTACTCACCAGTCTTCATACAAGACTAGTACAACAGGCACATTTGTATCAAAAGTCCAGACAGAAGAAACAAGCTGCTCTCATAAACACGCTTCACGTACACTCAGCTCTATGGAAATGTTACATCATGCCTCCACATATACACACACACCTCCATTCAATGCGGAGAAAGCCAAAGGCTCCAGACAAAAGGTCTACATTTGGAAGTTGCACACCTTTTTAGAATGTGCAGGCAGAGCAAATGGGATCTTACTTTCAGTGCTCTCTATATGAAATGGGTTGGTTCATCCACGTGAAGAATTAATGCAAGGTGTGAAGATGGTGCACTGGAGAGCATAAGCTGTTATCAGCGACTATGGACCAGGGAAGTGGAAGAAGGTTCTTTAGCAATAAACAGGACTTAACATCGGTTTAATGGTTCTTGTGGGTTCAGAAGGGAATCTTGTCTTTAACTCACAAGTTTCCGAATGGATTCTGCTGGCATGTCCTGGATCGGTTCCCTCATGTAACACAGAGTATGAATAGGAGACCCAAAGCAACTTGGCAAGTATTTGCCTGTTACAGATAAAAAATAATCCTTCCCCCTGTTAAGATGCAAGACCAAGATATCTTCAAGTTTTTCCTCTCCAGAGTTTAAGTGTGTAGCTGTTGATTTATTAACAAACACCTCCAACTCAATTGTGATCTCAGCATCTGCCAGAAGATGATAAAAAAAACCGTACTCAGTTCAAAAAGGTATTAAACCAATAAGCCTGCAAATAGGCATAGCATTCTCAAAATAGCAGAGAGAAGTAAGCCAGAATGTGAAATATTAGCTCATTAACATGAGATGAACAACGAGGCGCTCACCTGATAGAAGAAAGCCCTTACTGGGATTAGCAATCAGCCACTCCTTGCAGTAGGTTTCCTCATCTGGCTTGCTGATAAATTCGAACTGGCAGGGCACTTGTCCATTGCGGATTGTAAACTTTTCTACCTGCAGCTGCATGTATTTAACATCCTCAAAATGGAACTAGAAACAAATGTCAGTCAACATCATCACTGAGCAGCAAAATACCCAGATTAACCCTCTTGCTCCTGCACCCCATCTCTTCCAGGATTACATAGGATTACATTTGCTTACTCTGTATGCCAAAGTAGTTTGCATCAGTGGGCCCTTTAAAACAAATGCTCACCTCAAATAACCTCAATGAAATTTGAGAACAAGATAGCTGTAGCCTCAAATGTCTCATCTGCTTATCTTTTTTAGGCCCCAATACACAAAGCAAATGCCGGTTTTGTGACCTTCTCCAAATCCCTCAGATTTTACATTTTATGTTTCAAACAAGTCAGAGCAAGGGCCACAAACTACCCTCTTACTCTCTCTCTCACCTCCAGCAACATGCCCTACGTTTCAGCCTGGTACTGTGAATAGAGTTTAGCTGTATCTAAACAGAAATAAATATTTCTAGGGCTTGTAAATAGAGAACAGCTGGAAGTCAAAATATTCTACTTCTTTGGAACCAGACCCCAGGGTCCAGAATCCATCTAACGTACTTCTACCACTGGAATACACTTCTGGGGTCTAGGGTTGCTCAGTTTCTCCAGCGAGTCGCAGCACATGAACACACCTTACCTCTCTCTGGGAGAGGGTCACCGAGGGAATGTTGGCATTCTCCAGCTTATCCAGCGAGCGGACTATTTCCTCAAAGGCTTTTCGATAGAGGTCCTCATTCACAACCTTCACCTGAAAAGGACACACACTGCACCAACTGGCATTTACTATGCCTCTGCAGGACAGCTGTAACACAGCTGGAAACATGAAGTGATTTGATTTTAGCAGCACACTAGCATATACAACACATGTAACAAACAGAGCCCCTTGGAGCACTAATGCTCCAAGATCTCGTCAGGATCCAACAGTAAAGGACCTTGCCATAACTAGCAAGAGAGTCTCCCAGTCAGTACTAGATCAGCTTTTTTTGTTTGTTTGTTTTGTTTTGTTCTAAAAAACATTACTGTGCTGTCAATGATGTAGCATTCCTGCACTGCAAGTTTCTGTGAAAATTATTAGGAAAATACAAAAAAAGGCAAAAGAACACTTCTGAAAAAATACCTACAGATATTAATGCATTATTCTGCTTAACTGAAGTATCATTTAACACAACCCTAGCTTACTATGAACAACAATCCTATCTCAGCATCTTACCTAGCCCACCTTTTAAGCCATTGTTCTCCGTGGATGCCATAAAAGCAGGAGGAGAGAGAAATCAGCAGGAGAACCTCCCTCCTCCATCCCCCTCTCCCCACACAGAGGACGAGGTCAGCAGAGTTACTTCCTTCAGCACTGACGTACTTACCCCAATATCAAACACAGAGCTAACTGGCTTATGATCACTGATCTTCAAAGCCATGTGACTGCGATAGCTCAGCTGAGCAATGTTCTGCCCTTTCCAGAGTATCCGATCACACCATGCTGGAACACGACACTTCTCACTAA